ACTCTTAACTGTACTGCCATGGACTGATCAATATGGCTCTGGGCAAGTCACATCACCTCTATGAGACTCAGTGTTGTCATCTGTAAAATGGAGAGGTTGATTGTAACTATTTTTAATCTGCTTAACTGCTCTGATCTAGCTGAATTTCATTTACTTACAGCAAATCTCAGTAATCGTCAGAATATCTACAGGCCGTATTTTCAACAGAAGGCTTCAGGAACACTATGAGGTAAAAGATGACCCTTGAAGGGTACACAGAGATCATCCAAAATAAGAGGAAAACAGATTTTCATTCCAGAAGTATGAGCTAATTGCAGGACCATGTCTACCTGTGGCAGAGGCTGCAAAGTGTGAAACTCAGGGAGGTTCCTAGTGATAGCCTCCCACAAGATTGCTGGGTATTTGTGTAGTTATGTATTTCTGCATAACAGATCACATCAAAACGTAGTGACTTAAAACAACTCAATATATATAGCAATTCTGTGGGTTGACTTAGAAGTTCTTCTGCTGATTTTGTTTACCTAAGTGGTTGGGCTTACTCAAGGGGCTAGTCAGTAGAGTTTAGCAGAAGCTGAAATATTCAAATTGGCTTCATTCACGTATCTGACATTTGGTGCTGGCTGTCAGCTGGGACATCTTTGTTCTCCTTCCTGGGCCACTAGGTGATCCAGTTTTCTTACATGGCAATCTCAGAGACAGTCCTAATGCAGACACATTTATAAAGCCTCTGCTTGTGTCAAATTTACTGATGTCCCATTGGCCAGAACAAGTCAAAGGCCAAGTGCAAAGTCCATGCAGGAGGCGGCTTACACTGCTCTTGATGGAAGGAAGGAGTGGCAAAGAACTTGTACAAATCTTTAATCTACACAATATTGAAACAAAGTTACCCAATCCAACTGTGCTTAACAAAAACTAACAGGCAAAACTACCTCCCTTCAGTCATCTCAGTTGATAGTAACTCCCCCTACCTCAACTGCTACCACCTTGGTTTATGCCACCGTCACCTTCTTCCTGGAGCTCAATTCCTCTGGGAACCCCCTGAGAACTGTGGAGCCCACTTCAGAATTGTCCCACCAAATGATGGGTTGGTTAGGAAATCTGTCTGTTGGCTCTCATCACTCAACGACTGAGGAGTTCCCCTCACAGTCCCTGACATTTTCATGGTATGCTTCTACTTGGTTGAGCAGGCTCCCATGAGGTTAAAAGTGCCTTAAAGCAAAGAAGGAGAGAGATCCAGTTTCCCAGGGCTGTCCTATCAAAGCACCACAAACTTGGTGGCTTAAAACAACAGAAATATATTACATGACAGCTCTGGAGGCTAGAATTCCAAAATCAAGGCCTTCACAGATGAATACCCCTTCTAAATCCCATGCGGAATAATCCTTCCTTGCCTCTTCCAGCTTCTGACATCTACTGGTAATCCCTGGTGTTCCTTGGCTTGTACATGCATCATCACTCCAAGGTCAGCCTTCATCATGGCCTATCCATCTCCTTCCTTTGTGTCTCTCTCCTCCTCTTCTTTCTATAGGGGTATCAGTCGTATTAAATTAGAGACCCACCCTGCTCCAATATTACCTCATCTTAACTAATTACATCTGCGATAACCCTGTTTCTAAATAAAGTCACCTTCTGAGGTACTGGAGGTTAGAACTTCAGTACATCTTCTTGAGGAACACAATTCAACCCATAACAGATGGGAAGCCATAAGCATGTTGAGAACTATCTAAAGTGGCCAAAGCTTAACTCAGAGGTAACCGCAGGGTATATAGGGCTATATATATATATATATATATATATATTATATCTCTCTCTATATATATGTGTATGTGTGTGTGTGTGTGTGTGTGTGTGTGTGTGTGTGTGTGTGTATCCTTTGCTGTAGATTTTTTACCTAGAATGATAAATTTAAGGATTGTTTGAAATTGCATGAAGGATGGGGAAGGGACCCACAGCCAGTTCTAGAAGAATGTGAGCCACTGTCAAGTTCAAGGCAAGAAAAAGTGAACATATTTAGCCTGAGAATTCACTCATATTGGGATTTGCTGTCTGATAGAAGGTCAAGTCAGCAGATTTAAAGGTGGACACCTACCATTTCTAAGAAACTTAGTCATCTCAGACAAGGAACCTCTGGGGTAGAGGACTGCCATGTCTTAATCCGCAATCACTCTGGAGGGTAACCAGCTTTTAGAGAGAGTTCCAGCACACAAACGAGGCAGGTCAGAAGGAGACATTTAAGCATCACTCTAATTAATCACTTTGGATGGAAAGCTGGTGACCCAAATGCGGGTGTCTATGTCTTAACTCCCATATGCAATAGCTACATTAGAAGAACTTTTCAACCCTTGGAAATTCTCTTCCCAAGAGGGTCCTGTTGCAGAGCAGATGTTTGCAAATCATTTAGCCTGCTGGTGATGAATTAGTTTTTAATGGCATTCTTGTGTACTTGTTATAAATCATTAAGCGTCCAACAGACTGTCTCCTATCTTCACAGACCTGGTCAGCTTGGGTTCCTAAGCAGCAAAAATATACAGTGATGGGAATGAAGTTGCTGTACCCGGTTGAAAATCCTTCACTCCCCTTCCCACTTGTCCTTGACCCTGGTCCACTCCTTTTCTTACCTCTCCTCCACTCCTCTCTCCCCTTCCACATCTTCCTCTTCCCCATCCATGCACTTGGCCTTTTCCCAACTCCTTAATTTTCCCTCTCTCCTTTCTCAAGCATCCTCACATCTCTCTATTATTCTTACCTCTTTTCTCCCTCCACAGTTTTCCTTACTTCTCTTTTTACCATCCCAATCTTTCCTCAGCATTAGAAATAAAGGTTGTTTTCTTTTGATAAGCTGAGAGAGAGATCCCCATGCTGACACAGTATGATTCTTAATACCAGTAATAAATTCATGGTCAGTTCTTGCCAGATATGCAGGAAATTAAAGTTGGGGTGAGGGTAGGGAAAGAGTGAAAACAAACCTGAAAAAGAGCTTCAAGTCCACTGAAGAGAAGTTGTTAAGTACTAACAATATAAGACAGTGCACTAATCGTAAAAATTAACACTGTAGTATCCTCATGCTAGAGAGAACATATATGCTTTTTGGAGAGATGAAAATGGTTTGAATCCTGGATATGACGCTTACTAACCCTATGACAGGAGAACTCAGGAAACCTCTCAGTTCAGCTACAGAGTCTAGGATAATGTAGATAAAAGATCGTAGCACAGAGATTTTTCAGACTTTAGCATCTAGTTGGTAGTTAGTAAAGATAGTAAAATTAGAGACAAGTCAAATTTAAATAATATGAAAATTCAACATTTATTAACTGCACATTTTTTTGAGTGTTTCTGGATGTTGGCCGTGTGCGAGATACTGAATTCAATTCAGGTTCTATGGACTTAGCGCTGTCACGTGCTTATTACTCCACTAAAACTAAAAAGTAGATGAAGTTATCCCTTGTCATTATCAAGTTAACCCCATCCAAACATCTAGAAAGAGCACTCCTCACTCGCCACTGCCTTTCCTGATGGGAGCCTCCTTGGTGTCACGCACCTGTGTCATACATAGATAACACTCTCATTCCTGGTCATTGATTTTCCTTTGACTTCCATGACAATCTCTTACTCAGAAAGCACTATTGGCAAAAATGCTTGATCTTTCCTTCTGTTAGCAGATGAAGGCTCTGAGATGAGAAACTTAAACTTTCATTGCCTCCTCCTAAAAATGTTTCTGTTCATCAGCTTCCCTCTCTCGGCCCTTTTAGTTACCAAAGCTAACTTTGGTAACAAGTTACCTCTACCTGTAACCTTAATGCAAGTCTTTAAGCTTAGTGTGGTGCTTGAAATCAATTTATCTCTCTCTCACCTGTGCCTGGACTTTCTCCCTTGTTAGAAATTTTCTCATCAGTTTTAGGAAATATTCTTTTCTTGCTTTGAAACAAACAAGTACACTTGGGCCCCGTGTTCCTATGTATTGAATGTTCCTATATATTCTCACTCTCTTTCTCCTCCTGTCCAAACATCTAGAACATCTAGCACTGCCTTTCCTGATGGAAACCTCCTCATCAGAGCCTGATTAATTGAGTCCAAATTACATAGTCTGCCTCCTGTATTCCTTCTAACATTCAGAATGCTTCTCCTCATGTCCTTTCTGCCATTTCCAGGTCCCATGCCCTCAACCTCTCTGCTCCTCCAAAAGCTGCACTCCCATCTCTCATCTTCTGCATCTATGCACTCCACCTTGAGAGTCACCCCTCACTCCTTATGCTTCAACCTCCTCTACTGTTTATCCATAAATGTCCAGGTCTAGCCAATTCCCTCTCCTGAGTTTCAGATTCTGCAATGCCCACTATCTGCTAAGGAGCTCTATTCAATTATTTGTTGTAATTTCAACACACCTAGAAATCAGTTCTTCATGTCTCTTCCAAAAATAGCTCTTTCGCTGGGCCTCACAATTGCCAGAAATGACACCACTGTCTTACTAGGCACCTAGATTTTCCAGCTGATGGACTGTGGAGGCCTCTCTCCTCCTTGCCCCTCACACTTATTTCTGTGCTTAGTTTTTTCAACACTGCCTTTACAGCACTTCTTAGGAAGCCTCACCTCCACCTGCCTGGGTTTCCACTGCCCCTTCCCCAGTTCTGGTGCTTCTTGCCACTTGCTTGAATCGTCTCAATAGTGTGATTTACGAATCAGTGGTCCACAACCTGTTTTAGCACCAGGGATCACTTTTGTGGAAGACGATTTTTCCATGGACCTACGTGGGGAGTGGGGTTCAGGATGATTCAAAGACATTACATTTATTGTGCACTTTATTTCTATTATTATATTTCAATTTATAATGAAATAATTATACAACTCACCATAATGTGGAATCGGTGGAAACCCTAAGCTTGTTTTCTTGCAACTAGATAGTCCCCTCTGGGGGTGACAGGACACAGTAACAGATCATCAGGCATTAGATTCTCATAAGGAGGGTGCAACCTAGAACTCTCACACATGTAGATCACAATAGGGTTCCCACTGCTGTGAGATTCCAATGGAGGCAGAGCTGACAGGAGGCGGAGCTGAGGCGGTAATGCAAGACTGAGATGGGGAACCACTGTAAATACAGATGAAACTACACTTGCTGGCCCATGGCTTACCTCCTGTTGTGCAGCCCAGTTCCTAATGGGCCACAGACCAGTAGGAACCTGATCAGTATGGCTTTGGGCAAGTCACATCACCTCTATGAAACTCAGCTTTGTCATCTGTCAAATGGAGAGGTTGATTGTGATGATTTCTAAGTTGCTGAACTGCTCTGATCTAGCTGAATTTCACTTACTTCCAGCAAATCTCAGTAATGGTCAGAATATCTGTAGGCTATATTTTCAACAGAAGGCTTCATGAACACTGTGGGTTTCAAGTCCATAGCCCAGGAGTTTGGGAACTCCTGTCTTAAATGATCTCCCTATCTTTAGTCTCTTCCCCTCCCCAACCTTCATCCCACATAGTTGCCAATTTGTATTGCCGATGCTCAAACATCACTCAGCTCCTGAAAATGCTACTGAATAAGTACCAGCTATTTGTCCTCTTGTTCAAATATCTTCATACTCCTTCCCAACCCAGCTGTCCACATGTGTTAAGTGGCTAACATGTAGGCACTGTGCTGAGTAATATATGCTTCTGTGTGTATGTATATGCACACCTGTGTGTGATGATTACGTTGTCTGATGAACAGTAAGTGCTCATCCCATTGTAGGTCCTCAAAAAATAGTAGCTGTTTTCATTATTTCATTGAGATCCTTGAGTATCAGTTTCCTGTTTCTTTATATAGCAAGGGGCAATCATATATAATTCAGTGAAGTATTGTGAGGATCAAACTAAATCATGTATTTATAATGCTTAGCACAATATTTACTCAGCATATAGTAGGCACTCCATTGATAGTCCTCTTTCCTCTCCCATGACCCTGGGCCTGCTGAGCTATTTTCTAATGCTTTAAAATTGAACTGGAGACTCATACATTCATTCAAGTGTTTATTAGGTTATTACAATATCAAACAATGCACTATTAAAACCACACAGAATGGGACAGAGAGCAAATACTATAGAACTGCAGCAAGAATGATAGCTTGAGCATAGAGTGAACTTAAAGTTGATATGACAGTCAAGCAGACTTAGAGTAGAAGTAAAATATACACAAAGCCTAACGCAAATCAATTTGACTTTATTTATACGAAAGAAAACTGTGTGACCTTTTCTGACCAGAGTAGAAAGTTTCATTTTGATCTGTTTCCATTTGTTTGTTTTCATTAAGAGAAGGTGTTTAAGCCTTCTTGCAGATAATTCTAACTAGCACTTATTGATCATTTATGAAATAATGTCATATGTGTTATACATTTATCCTGGCCCCATGAGGTAGGCAATTTCACAAATGAAAAATGGAGAAACAAAGAGCTCATTTACATGCCCAGGACACACAGCTAAGAGAGGATAATGCTGGCACCTACTAAGATGACAGACGCCAAGATCTCTGAAACTACTACACAAATATTTTATATTATTCAGATTACATATGTGCATATCTATTATGTATATATAAATGAATCGATGTGTCTATGTGTATATACATATGTGCATATATGTACACATGCATGTATATGCATATGTCGCTTAGGACAAATTGGCACATGGGAAATGCCGTTCACCAAATATTTCCATCTCTCCCCCCTTCAGGCACATGGAAGAACTGCACTTCTCTGCACTTCTGTTTAGAGGTGATTATGTGACAGGCTTCAGTGAATAAAATGTGAGTGAAATTGACACATGTCCATTAGATTTTCATAAGAAGTGCCTGATATAGCTAAAACATGTCAATTTCAGATGGAAGCTTTGAGGACTGGCACCTCCTTCAGTGTTGCTGCTTTTCTTATGCCACCGAGACAAACAATAATCTAGACCATGGCTGTTTCACCTGTCTTGGTACTTAAGAGGTGGCCTGATGGAGCAGAATCCCCAGGAAACCCTGGGTCAACAAGAACAATGAGTGAGAAATACACCATTGCTGTTTGGAGCACTAAGATGTTGGAGTTCTTTGTTATTGCAGCATACCCTAGCTTCTCTTGACCAATATTGTGTGGTGATAGTTGTGGCTGTTGTTGTTACATTATGCCATCTTAACCAGTGTTTGTAAAAAGAAAGCAGAGGTGCCCAGGTTGAGCCTGCAATGTAGCATATATTGAAAGTTCATTCTACAGATTTTGAGGTGCAACTCAAATTGCCTTTATCATATTCGCCTGGATATCCCAGGTGACTTTAGGTCAATCCTGGGAGGAGAAAGGAGAAGGGATGCAGGCAAAACTGAGGCTATTTAATTTAATAGCACTTACTAATTTCAAGGTAAAAGTTGGGTTTATAGCATTATAAAAGGAAAAAGTACTCCCTTGCCTAACTCCTTGGGAGACAGGCCTAAATGTCATTCTTTGTTTATTTCTCTGGGGAATTAACTGCTTGGATTCCTTCAAAGTTTAATTAAATTGTCACATAACACATAAAATAGCAAATAAAACAGGCTTTTGCTGTGTCCTGGTGTTAATTTTATGTCATCAAAATTGTTTAGCTTGTTAGCCGCCTAACTCAGGCTGCCCTAGTTACCAATTAAGGGTTCTGTGTGAATGCTTTTCCCCCATTTAAACACCAGCGCTGCCTGCACTCTTGTTAAACTTTTCATTTCCTTGGGGTTGCGACTACTAATTTTCTAATAGGTTCTTGGTCATTTAAGTTTTATGCTGTGCAGTTTTTGTTAGCAAAAGAACATTTGAGAAGTTTGGCTCAGGGAAAAACTGTCAACAAGTTGAAGTGTCTGTGGCAAAAGACTTTATATATTATCAGCTCTAACCTGCTTATTGTATAGATGAAGAAACTGAGGCTAAGAGGAGTGGTCTGAGCTGCCACCAGTCATGATGAATAAATGGCAAGGACAGAATTATAATCCAGGAAAGCGGATTCCAGGGACCATGCTCCTGTGAATGTACACAGCTTGTGTTTTGTCGGATACTCTCTTCTCCATTCAGTGACGTTTCCTAACTTAGGGTCTCATCATCTTTTATGCTAGTGATGTCACAATCTTTTTTATTAGCCTTCCTGGATATACAAACACACTCAGGTAGGAACTCTTATCTACTTCCTATCCGTCTTCTATCTTCCCTTCCCCACAGCTCAGTTTCCATAAGAACAAGAAGCTTTCTATTAGTCAGTAGGCTATTAATTACTGCCTCTATTTCAGATTAACCCAGTACATAGACTGCTAGCCAGACTAATAATAAAGAAGAAAAGAGAGAAAAATCAAATAGACACAGTACAAAATGATGAAGGGGATATCACCACTGATCCCACAGAAATACAAACTACCATCAGAGAATACTAGAAACACCTCTATGCAAATAAACTAGAAAATCTAGAAGAAATGAATAAATTCCTGGACACATACACCCTCCCAAGGCTAAACCAGGAAGAAGTCAAATCCCTGAATAGACCAATAACACATTTTGAAATTGAGACAGTAATTAATAGCCTACCAACCAAAAAAGCCCAGGATCAGAAAAATTCACAGCCGAGTTTTACTAGAGGTACAAAGAGGAGCTGGTACCATTCCTTCTGAAGCTATTCCAAACAATAGAAAAAGACAGAATACTCCCTAAGTCATTTTATGAGGACAGCATCATCCTGATACCAAAACCTGGCAGAGACACAGCAAAAAAAAGAAAATTTTAGACCAATATCCCTGATGAACATTGATGTGAAAATCCTCAATAAAATACCGGCAAACCGAATCCAGCAGCACATCAAAAAGCTTATCCACCGTGATCAAGTAGGCTTCATCCCTGGTTGAACATACAGAAATTAATCAACATAATCCATCACATAAACAGAACCAATGAGAAAAACCACATGATTATCTCAATAGACGCAGAAAAGGACTTCGATAAAATAAAACTCAACACCCCTTCATGCTAAAAAACTCTCAATAAATTAGGTATTGATGAACTGTATCTCAAAATAATAAGAGCTATTTATGACAAACCCACAGTCAATATCACAGAATGCGCAAAAGCTGGAAGCAGTCCCTTTGAAAACCTGTACAAGACAAGGATGCCCTCTCTCACCACTCCTATTCAACATAGGGTTGGAAGTTCTGGCCAGGGCAGTCAGGAAAGAGAAAGAAATAAAAGGTATTCAAATAGGAAGAGAGGAAGTGAAATTGTTTCTGTTTGCAGATGAAATGATTTTATATTTAGAAAACCTCATCGTCTCAGCAAAATCTCCTTAAGCTGATAAGCAACTTCAGCAAAGTTTCAGGATAAAAAAGCAATGTGAAAAATCACAAGCATTCCTATAAGCCAATAATAGACAGAGAGCCAAATCATGAGTGATCTCCCATTCACAACTGCTACAAAGAGAATAAAATACCTAGGAATACAACTGACAAGGGATGTGAAGGACCTCTTCAAGAGAACTACAAACCACTGCTCAAGGAAATAAGAGAGGACACAAACAAATGGAAAAACATTCTATGCTCACGGATAGGAAGAATCAGTATCATAAAAATGGCAATACTATCCAAAGTAATTTATAGATTCAGTGCTATCCCCATCAAGCTACCATTGACTTTCCTCAGGAATTAGAAAAAACTACTTTAAATTTCATATAGAACCAAAAAAAAGAGTCCATATAGCCAAGACAATCCTAAGCAAAAAGATCAAACCTGGAGGCATCACGCTACCTGACTTCAAACTATACTATAAGGCTACAGTAACCAGAAAAGCATGGCATTGTTACCAAAGCAGATATATACACCAATGGAACAAAACAGAGGCCTCAGAAATAATGCCACACCAGTGATTTTATATTCCTCTTTTACTTTCTCTCTTTTTAATTAACACTATTTGTTAATTTTTGTATATTTAATTAACACTATTTTAGAAACAAATAGCACCTCTTTCTCCCCACTTCTATTTTCTGAGGTTAGGGTCAAACTATATCCTGGACATGAATGGCCTGGCTTGTCATTTTAATTTAGTGAGTATTACACAGAGATAGTGTAGGATTCTCCCGATTGTGATAATGTTATTTTTTCATTTGTGTTTTTAACATACACAAAAAAATACTTTTATTGTCATAAATTAATGCATAACATCATAAATCCATTCATTTATTATACTTAACAAATGTTCAGTAAGCACCTACTTTATTTCAAGCCTTCTCAATTCCTTAGGGAATTGAAGATGATTAAGATGTATCCCTGCTCCTATAAAGTTAACAAATTAGAAGAGGTAGAACTTAGATAAGTATAATATAATGTAACAGAGTGAACAAGATTCAATAGGGCCAGTGTGTAAAAGAGAGTTTCAGCTTCTTTAGGGTAGGTAAGAATTTTCACAGAAACTAAACTCAACCTGATCCTTAAAAGATGAGTAACAACTTGCTAAGTGAAGAGGAGATGACATCTGAACCCTGTGAATGCTAGTGGGGACAATAGCTGGGAGCTGGGAGAGGAGTGGTGGTTAGCTATTCTCTAGTGCTTTAAAATTGAACTGAAGACTCATACATTCATTCAAGTGTTTATTAGGTTATGGCAATATCAAACAATGCACTGTTAAAACCACACAGAATGGGACAGAGAGTAAATGCTATAGAACTGCAGCAAAAATGATAGCTTGAGCATAGAGTGAACTTAACATTAACTGGCTAATTTAAAGGCTTCCACTTTTCGCTGGGGCCCAGAGTTAGAAAGGCCTCTACAGGAGGTCCAAAAATCAGTGCAAACCTCTGATGACATGAGCTTTATGACCTGGTGGATTCCATGGTGTTCAGATATCAGTAGATTACAATAGTGTGAGGGGTCTTCAACAAGCTTATTGGGAAAGTCACAGTGCAGACCTAGAATTCTAAAGGAATGCCATCACCTCTGCAGAAGAGAAATACTCTCCATTTGAAAATCAGCTTCTGGCAGTGGAAACAGCATATGAACAAAAATATCAAGTACTTATGCTGCTGATGTCTCTTCTTTATCTCACCATGACCTAATAAGAGAAAGTGGGATATTTCCTATGACCAATTGACAGATAAGAAATAACTTAGCTGCTTCATTAAGCCACACTTTGGGGCTCTGAGAAGCTACATAGGAGAGGTACATAGGCAGATACGTGACCATTGGAAGGCTGTCCACTTGACATGCAGGAGGGGGTGAACTGAGATATGGATATACATTGACTCCTGGGCAGTGGTGAATCACTTGATCAAGAGCTTGGTAGACACATGAATAGACAATTTGGGGGGGAAATCTGAGTAAGATGTATAGAAGCAGATCAATAGGACTGGCTACAAAGATGTGGATCTTCATGTTTCAAATTAATGCTCACTACAGAGGTTATACCACACAGTAGACACTGAATAGTCAAGGGAAGAGAATGACCCAACCTGTGGATGAGGGCCAACCTTTTCTCTCAGCCACCCCAGTGTATGTGCATTACACCCATGAGCATGTTGTATATGGTGGTACAGATAGAATTTATACAAACTTAACACATCGGTCTTCTTTATCTGGGATGATAGCCATTGGCACTACTGGGCGCTCAACGTCCTCAGCAGAGACCAACGTATCTACTTGGCATCATGCCTCAGGGTGACTAGTGAGCTGCTGAATGGGACATTGACTATGTCAACATGCTTCACCATGAGGAGACAGTGTAATTGATATGTACTTCAGACATTAGTTGTCCTTCCCTGACTACATTGCTTCCTCTAGCA